TTTATTCCCTAAACAAAATAAATCCTGGAATATCGGCAAGGTCCCCACAGGATTTTAGGTTCCTTTATAAAAACAGGTGGGACCGACATAAAAAGTTCCTTCTTTTAATCCTCACCTTGGAGCAAAGTTTGGAAAAGTCTGGGATTTAAGGAATTGTGGCATCCTGTGGAATCCTGAGAGCCAGGCTGGAGCTCTGGCCCTGTTCAAAGCCTTCATCATTAATTCTGCCCTCGGTGTCTCCGGGCAAAAAAAGGGAAACCTGAGCTTGATGAGATCCCACAGGATCAAACATTCCAGCTTCATCATCATCATCGTCATCATCATCATCATCATCATCATCGTCATCATCATCGTCATCATCATCATCACCACCGTCATCATCACCACCACCATCAGCAGCAGCAGCATCATCATCACCATCTTCATCATCATCATCGCCATCGTCATCACCATCATCACCACCATCATCACCATCATCATCACCATCGTCATCACCGTCACCTTGACCATCACTATCGCCATCATCATCACCACCATCACCATCACCATCATCACCATCATCATCTTCATCATCAACACCATCATAAGCAGCAACAGCAGCAGCAGCATCATCACCATCACCATCACCATCATCATCTCCATCATCACCGTCATCATCATCATCATCATCACCATTATCATCATTACCATCATCACCATCATCATCTTCATCATCAACACCATCATAAGCATCAACAGCAGCAGCAGCAGCAGCATCATCACCATCTTCACCATCATCATCACCATCATCACCACCAACATCATCATCATCATCATCACCATTATCATCATTACCATCATCACCATCACCATCATCATCACCATCATCACCACCAACATCATCATCATCATCATCACCATTATCATCATTATCATCATCACCATCACCATCATCATCACCATCATCACCATCACCCTCATCACCATCATCATCACCAACATCATCATCATCACCATTATCATCATCACCATCATCATCTTCATCAACACCATCATAAGCAGCAACAGCAGCAGCATCATCACCATCAACACCATCATCACCATCACCATCATCATCTCCATCATCACCATCATCATCATCACCATCATCACCACCAATATCATCATCATCACCATTATCATCATCACCATCATCATCTTCATCATCATCAACACCATCATAAGCAGCAACAGCAGCAGCATCATCACCATCTTCACCATCATCATCACCACCATCACCATCATCACCATCATCATCATCACCATCACCATCATCATCTCCACCACCCCCATCCCGATCCCGCACGGCGGTGTTTATCCAGGTGCAATCATTCCAACAAACCCCATTTCCCGATGGAATGAAGCTCTATCCGAACCGAGGCGTTTGGGGAACCAAAGGGGCTCCTCGGAGAATTCCCAAGGTGGACAGGGAGGAAAATCCCGCAGGAATTCCCAACTTTCCTCTGCCCGGAGGAGCGACAGGAATTGCTGCTGCCTCCCACCACCAGCAGGGAAATCACTGCTCAGGAGTTTTGAGGCAAATTTCACCGCGGATCCGACAAAATCTGCAATTCCAGAGGCTCCTGGAGTGGATGGAATCCCACAATTCCCACAATTCCTCTGCGGTGAGCAATTCCAGGGATGGAATTCCATCCAAAATGCTTTTCCAAGGGTAAATCCCTCCAGGCCAGGTGGCAGGGGAGTGGTTCTCACCTTTCTGCAGGGTACTGGGGAAGGACAGGGTGACCTTTTCATCCTCGTTTTGATAGTTGAACCCCGTGGCGTGAACCTCTGGAATGGGAAAAAAACAGCACCGGGATCAGGGAAAAACCATCCTGGAAAGGGGTTTGTGCTCAAAATTCTGCAAATTCACCCAAATCTGAGCTCAACAGAATCGGTTCTGAGGGGTTCAGTGGGAGGAGATCCCTCGTGGTGGGAATTCCAGGGAAGGGAAAGTTCCAGGAGTGGGAGCTGTGCAGAAAAACCCCAAACCTGCAGGAGAAATTGGATCTGTGTCCTGGG